CAATTTATTTAACTACAGGAAAATGGTAGCCATAGAGTATCTTGATTTCATCAAAGAATTCCTCAAGATCTTCCATGAGAGTGTAGTAGAAGCAAGGGAAAGAAATGCCTCTGCCATTGGAGAGGAATTACAACTTTTTACTGTAGAAAAGTTATTTGACAGAATGGGAAAGCTTTGGGCATGGGAAAAAAGTGGTTGAGTCATGTTTTCGGATGCATGCATGGATTCTTTCCTTTCTACCCCACATGTAAATGCATAGCAGTATAGGTTTTATTGCCACCAATTTCAAACTCTTACAATTAAATTACTTCATATAAGTTTTAATTGCTTAAAAGCGGTTAACATTGTAAGAGGAGATGATCAATTATTATCAACCCCATATTTCCTCTATAAGAACTTCATTCCAAGGTATCAGGTCAGTGCTAAGCTTTGAACAAGGTGCTTTCATGTCTTTCTTGAGCTATTTTTGTGCTATATATGAGCCGCGGTGGTGCAGTGGTTGGCATGCAGTATTGCAGGCTAATTCTGCTAACTGTCAGCAGTTCGATTCTCATCAGCTCAAGATTGACTCAGCCTTCCATCCTTCCCAGGTCAGTAAAAGAGGATCCAGATTGTTGGGGGGCAATATGCTGACTCTGTAAACCACTTAGAGAGGGCTGTAAAGCACTGTAAAGCGGTATATAAGTGTAAGTGCTGTTGCTGTTGCTATTTCTGTTAGGTAACATAATTTTGCATTTTTTCAGGTATAAATAGTGACCTCAGCTTCTTCCCTTTTGTCCCATTGTTCTGCTTTGCTTGCCTATCTTAGGGACGTGAAGCCAGCAGAAAACCGTCTTCGGCCCAAGGGCTTGGGCCTTGGAGCAGATCGCTCAGCAGCCAAGGACTTGCAGCCCTCAGGATCCCGGCGACCCCCAAAACCTGGCGAGGAACCTTCAAAGAGCAAAGATGAACCTTTGGGGTTGGTTCCAGGAGGCGCTGTCTTCATCGAAAGTGGACCTCATAAGGAGCTGTACGGAAAGGTGAACTGACGCTTTTCTTGAGCTAGTTGCTTTTTAGACTCTGGACTGAGATGAAGCCCATCCCCTCATCCCCCAAAGAAGATTTGGGAAGTGAGAAATAAATCCCTTTGCTCTTCTTTTGGAATGGGGGTCCAGCTTTTCTCTGCAACCTCTCTACCTTTGTCTTAGGTAGATAGCCCCTGCCTGTTTGTGTCCCAGTGATGAGTTTTGCTGCGGCGGCACTGCAGAAATATTTTTTTATTTATCAAATGTGTATAATGCTGATTTCATTACGATTCATTTGCTCATGAAATTGTTGTGCAAACGTAGGCTCTTCCTACTCTTCGCTTTGCAAGCTACCGAGGATTTAATTTATTTTTTAAATGAGGATGTTCTGATAAAACAGGGCTTGAATCAGTTTGCAGTGCAGATATAGCCTTTATTTGCAATCTGTTCTCTCAGCTATCCACTTATAGCATTTCTTTTTATTCATGTATTCATGTATTTACTTTTCTGTTAAGAGTTCACAGTAGTTAATATGGAGCTTAATATTTTATCCTCCCAGTGGTGTCCTTGTGAGGTAGACTGAGTTGGGAGAGAAATTATACAGTATTCCAAATTTGCCCAGTTAATTCCAGGGTCAACTAGGGCAGTGATGGCGAACCTTTTAGAGACCGAGTGCCCAAACTGCAACCCAAAACCCACTTATGCATCATCGGGTGCCGGGTGGGCGTGGCCCATTGGGTGGGTGTGGCTGNCCTAAAGCAAAAAGGTTTTTTAAAACCCAGCTGAAGGCCTAGGACTGGGGTGACGACTCGTGTGCCCACAGAGAGGGCTCTGAGTGCCACCTCTGGCACCCGTGCCATAGGTTCGCCACCACTGAACTAGGGACTTGAATCTAAGGCTTCCTAGTCTCAGTCCAGCACTAGAAGGATTATACCACCACACTCACTTAATTACTGGGCCCTGACTTGTGTCTTTTGTAGATTGAAGGTGTTGATGGAGATAATGCTCGTGTCATGGTGAAACTGGCAATTGGCAACAAAGTGGTCACTGTGAGTCAACATGGAGTTCGGCCTGTTACCCAGAAAGAATACGATAAGCTGGCTAAAGACTTAAGTAAGTTAAAGTAGATTTCCCCATTGTTCCCACATAGACACCAGAACTTCTTCTGCTCTTTGGGGATGCTAAGTAGCAATACTAGCTTCCCTCTCACGGCGGCCCTCCTTGTCAGTATTAAAAACCAAGTCATCTTGATTGCAGAACTTGGGGTGAAAATCTGCTGTAAATCTCTGTTCCCCTCATGGGTTGAATTCTCTCAACGATTTGCTTTTCCCCAGTACAGGTCGCCTCAGCAAGGCTCACAAAGAGAAGGAGGAGGAACAAAAAAACGAGGCCAAGGACAGCTCGGATAACAGGGCCTCCAAGGGAAAAAACGAGAGCAGGGACAAAAAAAGGAAGCACCCAGCCGATGCAGATAGGTAAATGTGTCCTGCTATTGCAAGTGCTGAGTGCTATTTTAAAGTCTGTAGCTATGGTGGCTGGTGGTGGGATCAAGCATTTGCCAGAATACAGCTTCCAACAGCGGTGAAGGGAGAAATGAGAAAAGACCTCACTTGGCTCATTATTTAGAACTAGCTGTACCCAGCCACGCGTTGCTGTGGCTCAGTCTGGTAAAAGCGTGTGTTGCTTTTACGTCCAACAGGTGGCGCTGTTTTTCAAAAAAAGCATGTTTTTACCTGTCACAGGTGTGACATCTATATAATATAGGTATATAAAAACACGCGCGTATTCGAATGCAACGTTGTGTCTACATTTCAAAGCAATTGGTGAAGAACTTTCGGAGATTTAAGATTTTGAACAAACAAACATTTACATTTTTATTTATATAGATATAATGTATATTAGTGCAAGAGCGCCTCTTCTTTGGGGATCACAGTGCTGACTCCAAAACATATGTTTTTAATCCTTTTTAATCAAATCCCATTTGATGTCTTCTCACCCACTATTTCTGTTTTTGATTCAGTGTAAGTTGGCATATTTAGAGATCTTGCAAATGAGTGAGCAGATGGAGAATTATCAAGAAGTCAGTTCAGTTGGGAAGCCTTAAGCCTAAAGTGTGGGCTTGGTTAACTTGAGAGCATAAAAAGGGAACAAACAAAAAAAAGTAGCTTTTCGACAGGTGGTGCCCTAAGAAGCAAATGTGAAAGTAAATAGACAAAAACCTGCAATTATGAGCTGTGGTATTTAGGACATATTAGTCTTCCTATCTCACAGGTCGGCAACCTGCGGCTCCAGAGCCGGATGCGGCTCTTTGAGCCTTCCCCTGTGGCTCCCAGCCTCCTCTGCCATTTGCAGAGAGAGACAGAGACAGAGAGAGGCACTTGCACTTCCCTGCTTCTCTGTCTGTCTCTGTCTCTGTCTCTCTCTCTCTCAGTGTGTGTGTGTGTGTAAAAGAGCGTGGACTCACAGTGTTCTCCGAGGAGCTGAAAAGCTTTTTGGGCGGGGCTCCTCCCTTTGCTGCGTCTCTGCAGGAAGCAGGAAGGGCAGGAGAGAGCTACCTAGCCCAGCTCAGGAATTCTGGGAGTTGAAGTCCATGAGTCATAAAAGAGCCGAGGTTGCCTACCCCTGAGCTTGTTGGAGAACAGCTTGAAACCAGCTTGCCAGGTGAGCAGAAGATCAGAGAGGGGGGAGAGAAAGAGAGAGAGAGACAGAGACAGAGGGAGGGAGAGAGAGAGAGAGAGAGAGAGAGGAAAGAGAGGGGGGGGGAAGAGGACTGGCAGACCAAGGGCAGAAAGAGAGAGAGAGAGACACTTTTGACATCTAAAATGAAGATAACACTGTATATATCCTTTTTTACCTTTATGATATACACACACACACACACACACACACACACACACACACATATATTTTAAAGGTAAAAAAGGATATATGCAGTGTTATCTTCATTTTAGATATCAAAAGGGTTTTGTGGCTCCCAGTGTTTTGTTTTCAGTGGGAAACGGGTCCAAGTGGCTCTTTTGAGTGTTTTGGGTTGCCTACCCCTGTCCTATCTCATAGCAAAAAAAGCCAAAGGGTTGGAGAAGCAAATGGTCCCACTTCAGCTAATGGGAAGGTATTAGGATTTATCATTTCAAACAAAAGAAGTCCTACTGCACTAAATGGACATTGGAAGCAGTGATCTCTAAGGAAGATAGTTAAATGGAGGGAAAGCCCAAGGGATGACATGGAAGATAATTTGTATCATTGGAGCTCAGAAACCATTTTCAAGCCCTAAAACAACCTCTAACTATTTAAGGGAAGGAAAGGTCAGATCAGGTCAGTTCTGGACATCACACTTTAAAAAGGAACAGTTTCATAAAAGGATAACATGGATGATCAGGGGAACAGAAACTAAGCTATGTGAAGAGTTGAAAGATTTGGGTTTCTTTAGACTTGAGGAAAAAATGACAAGAGCATTACACAGAAGGTCTCTCTCTCTCTCCCTCCCTCCCTCCCTGTCCCTCTCTCTTGCCATGAAATAATGGATATAAATTATAAAAAGGCAGTTTCTCTGAGAACATTAGAAAAAACATCCTGACAATGCAGGTAGTTTGACAGTAGAACCTTTGGCCCAAAGGAGTGGTAGTCTTCCCTTCATAGGATTTACATAAGCAAGGGCTAAGTAGCCATCTAATTGTATACATTGAGCTTGCTTTAATCTGAATTCTTGCACTAAGTAGGGATTAGGTGATTGCCTAAAAGACCCTTTCCAACTCATAATTCTTCAATAATTTCTCTTGTGCCCACAGAGAGAACCATACTGGGAAGCAGAGTAAGTCTACTGACAGTTCCTCTTCCAGAGCTACTCACTGGTTACGCCAAGATCTGCGAGTCCGTTTTATAGATAAGCTCTACAAAGGGGGCAAATATTATAATACTAAGGTACTTGCAGAAACCTGCTTCTCATCATTATTAATACAGCATTACTATTTGAACCTAGAGTGTACAGGTCATACATCTAATTTAATAGCATTGTAATATTTTTTTACGCTGTGGGTGAAGAAAAGCATAAATTGCAATGCCAACAAACCCACTGTCCCAACTGGCATCCTCCAGATATGCTGGGTTCCTAGAATTTCCATCCAGCATGGTCGTTTCCTAGGATTTTTGGGTGTTGTAATCCCATTGCCTCTGGAGAACACCAAATTGGTGAAGGCAGATTTAAGCCCGGTGGGAGAAGATAATGAAGGACCACATGACAACTCTTTGAACTTTGCCATTCAAAAACTTCTTGAGACTATATCATAAATGCCTTCTTAAAAAATAATGCACTTCTCTTAGTTATGAAAGAGAGGTGAAGTTAATATGTAGACAATAGATGGAGCTGGGAGGTCAAGTCAGTTCAGTCTAATTCTCATAAGGCAGCAGCAGCAGAAATGGAGGATAGCTTTTCATCTTTGCCAGAATAGCAGTGTTCAGTTTGGCTCATGGCGTCATTATACCCTGTGCAGAATTTCTTTGCAATGGTTTCAAAAGTGCTATGTCCTGCAGTGATAAAGATCCTTCTCAAGGTTGTACTTTTGCAACATTTTGCTTGGGGAGTTGAATGCAATAGAAATGGGGGGGCTCACCAATGCTTTTCCCCTCAGGCAAGGAGCCATTTCTGAAAAGCTGTGGGTTTGTTTTTTTTCTTGGAGCCTAGATGTATTGAAGTGATGGGGTAGAGATACCAAGTTTCAATATTGCCCAGAGAAGGCAGGTAGGATTTTGATCAAATAATAACTAATGACTCTATGAGCAGCTAAAGGCCTGTTTTTGTGAGGGAGAAGCCTGTGTCCTTTCAAGTTATGAGTGTTTGCAGCTGAGGGCCAGTTCCAGGCAAAGTCTGTTATAAAGACTCAACTGACCCCATTGTTTGGACATAGAAGGTATGAAATCCTGTGTTGTTGTTTTTGTCTCCAGATGATAATTGAAGACGTCCTCAAGCCAGATACTTGTGTTTGCCGAGTAGACAAAGGACAAATTCTGGATGGTGAGTGTATTAGTGTTACTGCTTAAGTCTGAGACTCAAGACTTGACCTTTGGTATTTTTGGAACAGCATCTTTAGCTTGCTGATTAGGAAGAAAGTTGACCAACTTTGGTGCAGACGTTCTAGTGCTTCCAAGGAAGACACTTGTGATTTGGGATCCCAAGTTTCTGAAAGAAGGTTTGCATTCATGTCAACCTCCCAAATACTAAGCTTGTCTACTCTTTTCTGGACTTCCTTTTTCTCAGAGGTGATTGTAGGTCAGACATGTCAAACACAAGGCCCGGGGGCCGAATGCGGCCCGCGAAGTGGTTTCATGTGGCCCGCGAAGCCATCCTGGAAACAGTGAGGGAACGGCCCCCGCTGCCTTGGCCCTGGCCCAGGCCTGCCAGGAGCCAATGTACAATTTTGTGGTGGCCATCTATGCTGAAATGCATTCAGTCTTAGCTCCACAAGGCCATCTAGAAACAGCGAGGAACCAGCCCCTGCTGTGTCGGCCCCACCCCCTGGGTGCATGCTGGGGAGGTGTCACCCTTTGTGAGGAATGAAGAAATGGACCATGCCTTGGCGCTTGCCCCGGTCCCACCCCCTTCTGCCAGAGACCCTCAGATCTGTCCCACTCCTGCCCAGGCCCCCAAAGGCACTCTTGACACGAACAATGTAGAGCTGGCCATGCCCACCCAGTAGGCCACACCCACTCCATCCACACCCACCCAGTAGGCTGCACCCATCCTGCCCCCCCCCCCGAGGGCAACCGCAATGCTGATGTGGCCCTCAATGAAATTGAGTTTAACACCCTTGTTGCAGGTGATTTTGTCTTTTACTTTTGCTACTCTGTCCATGCTCTCAAGATACTTAAGGTTCTTGTCTTGCTTTTAACAGCTTGTTTTAATACTTATATAGATAAACATTACTCTTTGATTTTGAAATCTTATAATAAAGAACGCTTTATACATCAGTATATGAAGATACAGGCATTAATATTTGAGACCTTCGGTGCATAATATTTTAACGAGATTTTTTTTATTTAAGAGGACTATGGGCTGATAGATTATCTGCAGTATGCCAAATTAAGCAAATTTGTGAAATGTACTGTTATCAGAATTTCAGTATATCTGCTTTCTTGAGATACTGATAGAAATGTGAGCATTTGCAATGTTTTTATTTCTATAATGCTTACTACTCTTAGTAGCAGAATTACTTTACTATCTAGGTTTTTGGTTCCAGGTGTGGTAATGAAGCTGAGCAATTATTTTAGAGTCTCCCCTGATTAGCAGTTTCTGCTATGGAACTAAAATATCCCTCCACCCAAATTTCACATGATCTGTCAGATTAGGTACTGCAGTACCCAATCCTGAACACTTTTTAAAAAGTGTTAGTAGGTGAAGGCAGAACATATATAATCAGTCATGAATGACTCTTGATGACTTGATAGGCAAGCACTCTCCATGCTCCCAGTCAAGCACAACTTCTTTCAGTTGTTGGATACCCATCATTGTCTCAGCTTTGACATTGCTTGCCCTTTCTTCTTGATCCACTAACCATTCCTAGTATCGTTGACTTCTTCAATGAATTTGCACGCATGACATGGTCTTGAATTTGGGCTTCTAGTGATGTTTCTGGTTTTATACGATTCAGCACCTCTCTCTTGGTTGCTCTGGCTGTCTGTGATATACGCAATAATTTATGCCACCACAGTTCAAAGGCATGCTACATTCAATTTTTAGCACAAAAGGCTTTACATTACCACTGAAAGTCTGACTTTAGTTTGGAGCATCTATCAAAAACTGGTCCAAAACTTTCAATCTATCTAATAACTGGGTAATTGGTAAGAAAATGATATGAGATGCAAAATGCTGCTTAAGGACCATCCAAAGTAGGATAAGAAGATACCCATGTGATGGCCAGGTTCCTGGTTTCACTTGAAACTAGAGAAACTATGTTTGAGAAATTCTCTTTGACATGATTTTTCAGGTAGCTAATGGAAGAGTGATATTTCAGGTAGTAGTATTAATGACTTCAGGTTCTTGCTTCGACCTCTTTTACAGGTATCCATGAGTCCATGCTGGAGACTGTAATTCCTCGGAATGATTCAGACTGGGTTATGGTGGTATTAGGGGAGCATGCTGGAAAGGTAAGTCACTAATCCAGTGATATGGAACCTGGCTAATTTCTCTTAAGACCCCTGAATTTCATGCTATAGAGATATGGGATTATTTATTTATTTGTTTGTTTATTTCTATTTATTATTAAACTTGTATGCCACTAACACAATGGTAAATCGCAAGTACGATAACAAATTGTTACTTCAGATGCAGGTGATCCAAAATTCAGTCTCTCTCTTGTCAAAATTTTGGGTTACATCTTATATTATCCCATAATATTTATCCTGCAGATTTAGGCAGATAGTAGTTATAAAATAGTGAAGCTTAGCATTGCAATCGCTACAGATTCTTTATTGCTCACACTACTATAAGAAGCTTCATTTAATTCCACTAGTCCTCAACTAATGACCAGTTTCTTAGCCATCGTTCTAAGTTACAACAGACCTCCCCTACGGTACTTATGACATGGTCCTGATGATTCCCCTCCCCCCCAACAGTGAAACAGCTGCATTTTGGGTGCTTGGCAACTAGTCTGCCATTTGCAGCATCCCATAGTCACGTAAGCACATTTTAACAATGTTTTTGCCAAAAAGCAGCAGCTACTTTCAGGTTTCAGCAAAACAAACCCATGGCAAGCTGTTGATTCATGTAACAACCACAGCATTTGCTTAATAACCTACATAAAAACATTGTAAAATTGGATGGATCATATGGGTGACCCACTTTATGACTGTCATGACTTACAATAGTGATGGGCAAGCATAAGTCAAGGACTTCCTATATGTGTTTTTTTTTTGAAAAAATTACAAAGTAAATTAAAATGTGTCATATTGTATGTGAGAACACAGATTTAATAAGGTTCGGGGCTTTCTTTTGGCACTGCAATATTACAGGAAATTGAGTTATGCTCACTACGTGTCATGGTTGTTGATCACTGGAATACCACAATATTTAGAGCTCCACAGCTTGTTTACACTTGGTATGCCTGCTTTTCTTCAGGATAGGAACACAATCTCATTCATGCTTTTTCACTCTTAAATTAGATGGGCCGTATTCTGCGTCGAGACAAGGGACAGAGTCGTGCAGTGGTGCAACTGCAACAGGATGAAGAAAAGCTTCTGACCCTGGATTATGATGTAATCTGTCACTATGTTGGTGGCGTCGAGGATGATTGACATCCACAGCTCCTCCAAAAAGAGAACATCTACAGAACAGAGGAATTTCTCTTCTGAGGCTCAAAATAAAGAGCCAAGTTCATAATCTCAGCGGAATAGTGTTGGAAGTATTAAGCATGACAAATGACACTGTTGGCAGCCTTCATATGCACAGCAATCCATGATTCATATTCAGTTATTTGGCTTTTTTTTTCCTAATGAAAGTTAGATGGGCTGTTACTTTTGGCTAGTGACATGATCAAAATCTCTGAATCAATGATGGTGCTCCAGAATCAGCCAAAAACAAGGCACTATGTGGCACAATCAAACTGTTGCTGGTCATCTCTGGATCTAGAGGACTGAAAATTAAGCCACTCCTAGCAACAAGGAGTTCTGATTTAGAACTAGTGGTTCATGGGCTTCCATTATAAATTATTCTTTGGGATATGGAGTTATAATCTCTTAAATTCTTTTCTAGAGAATAACTACTACAATTTGTGTCATCTGCTGAAAATTTGGGATTGAAGGCTGGTAAAATGTATGTAAAAATAACTTGCTTTTAAACTAAAATTTTCAAAACATTCAAGGATGGAACCTGGAACCAATGTATCTTCCTGATTTTTTTCAGGATGGTCATTTTTTTAAATGAACTTATATTCACAAAATCCTGAAGCAATTAGTAGACAGAAAAGAGAATTGCTACACTGTATGGAAGTTTGCAAAAGTTATTTTGTTAGAAGAAACTGACAAGATTACAAGGCATTCCTGGAAGAAGGAATAATACTTATTTTACATTATCCTGGGGTGTGTATTTTCATCATAGCCCTAAACATAAATAAGCATCAGAAATAAACAGATGAATCATCTTTTGGGAAGTGTCTGATTTTGCTAAAACAAATAAGATTGTGTGTAAATTTCCCTCTCAAAATGTCATGTAAAATTACTGTCCATTTTCCTGCCACCGGTGTAAAAATGAATACAACTACTATGTGTAAATTAAGTTTCATGGATTTCACTGATAGTTTACTTTCATTTTGGCTATAATATAAGTAAAGTCTTATTTTTGCCTATTCTTTGTCTGATTGTTACTAAAACTGTGATCAGTAAATTGTGCTATCTAGGATGGTCTTTAATTTCCAAAGCAAAAAAATTAAATCAAATACTTGACATGTTACAAAACTGTTGAACCAACCTAGCACTCTTGGGTTTTACTCTTTTTTACTACCTTTATCTCAAAACTTTATGAAAACACATGCAAACAATGAAAGAATATGATGAAGGCATTGAAGAAGAAAAGGATCTCTAAATAGAAATAAAAAATGTTTCTGTGTTCGTGCCCATCTCTCCAGAGGATTATAGGTTCTTCGCTATTAAGAAAATGCAAATAAGCATTTTGATTTGGGCCATTTACTAAGGGGAATTTATGTTGATTTGGGAGTCTCCTAAGTTTAAGCAGTTCAAGAATATTAAAGATCACAGAGTCCGAAGTATCTCAAACATACGTGTTATGCAGTTTGGCTTCCTCCCTTGCTCAGAGAACAGTTTCCTGGAGATAAATATGGTCCTTTCCATTAGCCAGTGAAGCAACAGGTGCTTCTCTCTTTCCCTATCCATATCTTTCTTTTTTATGTTGTGTTTCTGAGGACCAGCGCGGTTCATGCGTTTTAACTACTTTACCACATTATTTAAACGCTTTAAAAACGTTATTTTATCTTTAGTCCCGGTCAATTCCCGCAACGGGACAGCTGAATGACTCGTATTGCCAGTCTCAAAAATGGCCGCCTTGATAACACCCGGCCCCTTCCCCTGTAAGCAAGAGAGAATCCCCGTATGTTCACAGCTCACGGCTCCCTGCCAGTTTCCAACATGGCCGTCGAGACTTTAGTACTTCCTAGCTTACGTGAGCGCTCTGTGCCTATTCTCTGTGGTCTAACGGAAGTAGCTTGCCTGCCTGCTGTTGTTTACCACCCGAATAGCTGGTGTCGATGTAAATAAAGTGGGGAAAGGTAAGGAATCTTGCAGGTGAAGCGGAGGGAGGAAGAGGGGTGGCAAACTTCAGGTAGGCCTCTTCAGATTTTTAGGAAAGAAACCGAAGTGGCAGGCAGGTTCCTGTGTCTCCACTGTTAGGACAGACTGAGTTAAGGAGTGTTGAAGAATTTTGGGAGGGGAGGACGGCGTAGCTGTAACCTTGCCGAAGTGGGAAGTAGGTGTATCTTGTTGGAGGAGACCTTGCAAGGAGTGTTGGGTATGAACACTTGCACGGGAAGAGAAAGTTGTGACTGTGAGGTTGATAAGACCAGATCCCCGTTAGGAGAGAGAGAATCGTTTTATTGCTTAGTGGGCTGTAGGGAGTAAGACGAGGTCCTGAGAACAAACGCTGGAGTCAGCCCAAGAAGAAAGAATGGCAAATGGGTCGGTAACTGAAAGAACTGAGGTCAAATTGAAGCAACTGAAGAGAAATAGAAGTTCTTAAATGAGACAGATATGAGTGGCCAAAGGTATCTTTTGGGAACCTGGTGCCCTTATGGGGTGGTCTGAGATGACAAAATATATAAGAAAGCTAGTATGTTCTTAGGACCTGCTGGAAAATGTCACCAGGGCTATTTGGCCTTCCACTGGCATCATATCTCTTGTGTTGATTTTGTCTTTCTGCACCATGATGGGTACCTTATTGGGTAACAGAAAAGAACCAAGAACATTGTGTGCCTGCCTCAACTGAGGCTGTCCCATCAAGCTCTTATGGCTCAGCAACGTGGGGTTAATAGCCTGCGCTTCAATCAAGATCAGAGTAAGTTATTTAATTTGTCTGAATGTGTTCCTCAGGAGATCTAGCACTCTTTTATTAGGGAGTTGTAACTGAGAGTCATAGGCCTTTCAAAATAAGAATTTTGAGATATTTTCAGCTCATAAAGTGATCTGTAACCCCTGCATCTGAGAATAGCCGTGTTGATGGAAATATACTTTCTGTTTGCTAGGAAATGCATTTTTTTATTTCAGGGGTTCTTGGGCTGGTAGTCTAATATCACTAGTAGATTACAGTCTTCATTTTGGCACAAGTGAGACATGATGTTCCCAATATACCACACAGTTGATCTGTCCTCTCATAATAGGCTGTTTCTGCTGTGCTATGGAGACGGGTGTTCGGATCTATAATGTGGAACCACTTATGGAGAAGGGGCACCTTGGTAAGGAGCAAAGAGCTAAAAATGTAGGATAGTGGAATATCTCTATTTCTGTGCAGTGAGTCCTACAATAGTACCTCTTGTTTTTTTCCCCGCTAGATCACGAACAGGTGGGCAGCGTAGGGCTGGTTGAAATGCTACACCGTTCTAATCTCCTTGCTATTGTAGGAGGAGGTGGCAACCCTAAATTCTCTGAGATCTCAGGTTGGTATTCTCAGGGGAGAAAGTGGAATCAAAGCAAAGGAATCATGAGTTCTGAATTTCAACAGTGTTACAGAGAGAAGCAAATATGATCTCTGATTATCCCCTAACAGGGACATATCTTTTCCCTGTTTCTCTATGTCCTTGTTGATCTATGTCTTCTGTTTCCTCATGCTTCCATTGTAGTCTTGATCTGGGATGATTCTCGTGAAGGGAAGGAAGGCAAAGACAAATTAGTACTGGAGTTCACCTTCACCAAACCAGCATTGGCTGTTCGCATGAGACATGACAAGTATGTTTGGAGTTCATTCTCTTTCTCCTGGTTCCAGAATATGGGTAGGGTGCTATATCCTTCTGCTTATCTGAATTTGATTGCCACAATAACACCTCTTGTTACAATATTATATCAATGCAATTTGTTTACAATAAAGTCTGGACTGGCATCATTGATTGAAGCAGAACAAAAGTAATTAGAACATTTGAATGTGTATCAGTTTATATTCTTGTATCAAGCATTGTCATATTGACCCACTAGTTGGAAACAAATATAAACTTGTAAAGATATACAATTCTAATTGAATATTTTACCTTGTTTTTACTCTGTTGTAAGCTGCCTAAATTGCCTCCAGGCAAGATGTGTGGCATATAAATGTAATAATTAAATAAAATAGCCTCTGCAGCAATATTCTCTAATACTTTTGTATAATACTATAATGGTAATGTAGGAGAAGAAGTAGCAGAACTTGGGATGGAATCAAAAGAGGATTCAGCCTACAATCTCTATGTAGCCACAGACTAAGTCCAACTCCTCTAACCCCCTGAGGTATCTTATCTTATCGTACTATGTCTCCACTCTGCTTGGATTTTGGCAGGGAAGAAATTCAGCTCTGGGCCGCAGAGACTTGTCCTTCTGCTCAGGGACTGAAAATCCAAGCAGAGTGAAGGGGGAGTGTAGTAAGGTAAGGAGCACAGGAGCCCCATGGGAGTAGGGGAGGCCCTGGAAGGCTTAGCACAGTCTGTATACAGGTTGGGGGGTGGGGTGTTGCAGACAAGCCTCTCTGCTCTGGAGCTGAAAATCCTCCCTGCCAAAATCCAAGCAGGATTTTCAACCTCTGAGCAGAGACACTTGTCTGCAGCACCCACACCCTGACTCACACATAGCTTATCTTGGCCTCCCCCACCCCCCTGAGGTACCCCATGCTCCTTACCTGGGATTTCATCTGCTCAGTGACCCATGAGATTGATCAAGGACCACATGGGACTGCCTTGATTGCAGTCATGTGACATCTCGCT